TTTAACGGTATTTGCCGGAGAGGTCCGGGTCCCCCCCCCCCCCCCCCCCCCTACCTTTTCGGCCTGGAAGCATGGTTTCTTTGATTTAGCCCCGGGGTAGATCGTTTTCGTACAAAAACAAAATCCCCCCGGGTATTTCAATTTTCCCCCGGGGTACCAGTTTTCCCACGGGTTCCCCCCGGGGGGGATGTATTTCTCTAATTTTCTGAGTCGATTTTGTTGCATCGCGGAGCACGAAAAGCACGATATGGGACGGAAAATATTGTTGCAGATGTGCGCTTCGAGCGAGATTTAGGTGCACCGTTTGTCACTGCAAGGCGGGCCCTTCCTTTTCGTGGAATTACTTGCGGGACGAGACAAACTCCCTGTGCTGCTGTCCTCCTTGCTGTCTTTTTTTTCTTCGCCTTCGTTGCTCATACGTTTTCTCCTCCCTCTGCTTGTTGAACGCTTGCTCGTAAACCTTATCCATCTCAGTTTCGCCACTCTCTGTGTGTTTGGTGTGTAGACCATCATTTTTTTGCACAACTCCCCGTGGGGGGGGTTCCCCTCGGGGTAGCGTTGGAACAGAAAAAACTAACCCCCCCCGGTACGTCAATTTCCCCTCGAGGGGGTTGGTTTCAGAAAAAAAAACGATCCCCTCTCCCCGGGGGGAAAACTCCGACGTTTACGGTACGTTGTTGTTGTGGAACATAAAGCTTAACTGACCAACAACTTCCCATTAAACGATTGGCAATGGAAGACGACAATATTCGGAGTTTCTGTTTTTTGGGTGGGCGGGACGGCAAAGTGTGCGCTCATCGGCCGCGTCGTGGGCGGTGCTGTGCCACACAATGTTTTTAGCCCCCCACTATGCATTCATGAAATTTACGTGCAAGTCGCACACGCAATGTCACAACACGTAGTGTAGCGGTAGAATGAACACTTCGATACTAGTAAGTCGCCGGTACGAATCCCCCCCTTGTCGTGTTTTCTTCCTTGACAAGACTTTGCGGTAGTGAACGGACGGGCGAAGTCTCGCGTACCGCGACCGCAGGGTGGAAGAAGGTGAATAACCTCACACACGGTTTTTTTTCCTCGACCCTTTTTTATCTCCCTCCCCCTCTTCACACCCACCCTCGCATGATGACCGCTTTCACAACCAACCCGGGCACGTCATGCCGGCTCGGCCTGTAACCCCCCTACGTTATCCCATGTAATAGCCACTCGTTGGCCGGAGGTAACTCAACACCCCCGTACAACGGTGCCCACTGGCCACCTGTGAAGCAGGGGCGACTAGATCCTGTCCCCTGTTTTATCCTTCCGCGGGGAGTTACATCTCTCGCGCCTTCTAGAAGGAACCATGCTCTTCTATGTTCCGTCTACACATCTGAATCCTATAACATTTGGGTATTGAATGCTCAATTGGCGGTGTAGTAGGGGATGGTTCCGGTATATAAAAACGTTATACTGATTAAAAGGTCGAAAATTGGTGTGCACGTACCTTGGAGCATTGCGAGAACAATGAATGATGGTAGTTACAAGGCCCAGGTCATCTTCCATCAAAGTTATGGCCTCGTAAAAGATCCTATACAACACTCAAGATACTGAGGAAAAGTGAGGTTATCGCGATTTCCAAGCCGGTTTTTACGAACTAGAACCTGAAATTTTGATATGTCATTGAAAACGGTCTTACAAATGCCCCCGAGGGAGGTTCGTTTTTTTTTGTTTTAGCCACAAAAACCCCTACATTTGGGATTCTCAGTTATTGAATATAGGAATACCTCACAAAAAAAAAAAAACGCACCTCCCTCGGGGGCATTTGTAAGACCGTTTCCAATCACATATCAAAATTTCAGGTTCTAGTTCGTAATAACCGGCTCGGAAATCGCTTCTTACGGCGTGATTATTTCGGAGATTGTTTTTTTCTCTCGGTCGGGGGGTTGTTGTTGTTGTTGTTGTTGTTGTTGTTGTTGTTGTTGTTGTTGTCTTAACATCAAACTCGTGTCATTTGCTAATCCCTAAACCTAGCAAAGACACGGTACGTGGTCACAAAAGCGCTAGAGCCATCAGAAGATCCAAAGAACACGCAAACTAGCAAAAAAAGGGTACACAAGTCCGAAGAGGTACACCTACATCCCTGCAGCACGTTTGCGTGCCCAAAAACTGAACTACCCGACCACGCACTACATTCGACTACAGTAGCATCATCCCCCCTGTCCTACACTTTACGAAAATGAATGTCGACTGCAGCGTACAGCTGTCTGGAGTGCTGCCAGTACAATAACACCATGGTAGGCATGATACCCTCACTCAAACCATGCCGCGATGAGCTGCATGCGCCGGTATTATTCAAAGCCGCTTCGTGGGCACGGCCGTAAATGATTCTAGATAGGGCAAGGCTGGACACATTATGTACTGATTCTATTAACGATTTCAACAACACAAACCTACTCTCGCCATTACCATTGCCGTTCGTTGCTGCTTGATGTCCGCACGACGGGAAAACGCCCGACGGTGCGTTGACACAGCAGGGTCCACCACCATAGATAACGCATACTCAACAATGCTTGTTGGGTCAAATGCCAGGCACCCTAGCCATGAGCATGATTGGTAGCAGGAGGCTTGCTTGGTATGAGCTACCCACGAGCCTTCTGATGGTGCGTCCTCTTATGATGCGAGAAGAGCAGGTTCCGGGCTAGGCTGGTAGTCAGGGCGGCGAGAGAATTCTGCGGAGCATACCAAAGTGAGAGAAAATAAGGCGTACGGCGTTCAGGCGGCCACTCTCACAAACATGGTTGAATCCTTCACATGCGGTGCGTTTGGCGTGAAGGGAGACAAAATGACAACGAAGCAGCAGTTCCTCGTACGGTGTTCCTCCCAGCCTGACAGCTATTTAGCTGATACTCTCGAAAAAAAAATAATAATACTGCCCAATACCCCCGACCGCAAAAAACATGAAAACAATACACAACAAGGACAAGGCGTAAGAGATAGGTCGACCAAGAATCTGATGTTTAGTGGTGGACGCATGAATCACAACTCTGTCAGAGCTTACGGCAATAGTCTACCCCAACCAAACACCGTATCATGGCCAGCACCGCTGCTCCTTGCACGTATGCCCTCCGCAGCTGGTCGCGTCCGCGTCGGCAAAAACCATCACGATCACGGCCGGGGACGACTTCGAGGCGAGCTGCTTGAAAGTGGTCGAGCCCGGAGGCACATGCTACCTTGAGAAGGGCGACTACGCACATGACGGCCTGACCGTCACCCACGGAACGGAGGACAAGCTCATTACCATCACCGGTGACCCCGATGCCTGCATCAAGGGAAGCAATACCCAGGACCGTGTGCTGCAGATGGCGGACTACTGCTACTACTCTATCGAGGGGATCTGCTTCGACGGCCAGCACGGCGATGAAAACGTGGCCACCGCGATCTATGTGCTGGGTGCTGACCGCAAGAGCACCAAGAATGGTGAAACGTCTTCGGTATCGGGCCTCGAGATGTTCGACCTCGAGATCAAGAATTTCTCGTCGGAATGCGTGCACTTCAGGTGACATGCACGCACACAATGTAGTACCCATGATTGTACAGCGCTGACATATCAATCGTAAGGACTACCCAAATAACTGGCGAGCGACGAGCCCGCCACGGTAGACGATCAACATCAGACCTTTTCCGCTGTTGACCACTACGAGGTGCTCCCACACCGAACGATGCTAGGCGAGGTAAAGCGGGTTTTAGGGTCAACAAGAAAATCAATACAATACCACGACTATGTAACTTCATCAGAGGCCAATGTCAAACACTGGACAATAGATTCCCCCAGTGATGAGTCTAATGATTTGATTTTTGACTGCTATGGGCCCCTGTCTGCAGCAAAACACGCTGGACGAGGTGGCTGTTGGTTTCATGGCGCTACGACCTCCGCGATCCTTCCTGATCGTGAAACCAACAGGGTTCAATCCAGCTCAAGGTCTCTCTCGCGAACCATGCCCCCTCTACCCTATTCCGCCTAAAACCGATGTTCCAACAGGTACGTCAATATCTGTATGTAGTGATTCTTTACTGCACGACGGACAAACCGTGGTGGTCCTATGTTGTGGGTCTCTGTTGAACTATTCAAATCGGGTTTTCCTTTTGCGCCATCCCTCTTCCAGCTTGTTCCGCCCAGTCTAATCAAGGGGTATCAACGGGCAAGGTTGCAAACGATAACTATTCCAATTACAGGTTTAGCGCATCGAGAGATCAAGAGAGAGGAAAACAGTCCCCAACGCTTAGGGATGGACCACGGGGTATACTAAGCCTTGCGAATACCCACAAAACCTGACCTGCCAAAGCTCATCGAGTGATTCCCCATCACTCCAACCTGGCTCTTGTTATTGTTGCAGCACTGTGGAATCGACACCTCTGAAAATGGCGAGGGCGGCAAAGTTGGGGAGGCCATCTACGTCGGAACGGCGCTCAGTCAGGTCAAGGATGGCAACGTGAACGCCAGGAGATGTTCGTGGGAAACGTAGTTGGAAGCACGAGGTTCTTCATTCACTGGGTCGATGCTTGCGCCGATAAGGCTGACCTATCAGGCACAAAAGCCGGCGACGTCGGGTACGCATTTCACCGGGTGCTTCCAGACGAGACCCATCGCATGGCGACCGAGCGGCATCTCGCGAAAATGAGCGGTACTCGCGCGCTGCAGAAGGCGCCCATCGGCTTTTGTGGGCACTATTCGACACTTGCTTTCGCGGTGCGTTCGATTGTTCGTTGCCAACCATGGATACGTTACCCTTGATGATCCCCCACCCCACTCCTGTCCGACGGAAGTGCTTTGGGCCTTCTATCACAACGCATAGGCGCCAGAGCCAAAACTCAGGACCGGGTCTGCCGATAACGTGGACGCCGACGTGTGCGGCTACAACTGGATCCACCACAACGCTTTCCGCACGTACGGCAACGAGTGCGTGGATATCAAGGAGGGCAGCGCCAACAACCTTGTTGAGAACAACGTCTGCGAGCAGCAGTTCGACCCCAACTCGGGCTGCGTCGGCTCCCGTGGGTCGGACAACACCTTCCGATGGAACGAGATCGCCGAATGCAAGGGAGCAGGGATTCGCGTGGGTGGCGAGGATGGATACGGAGAGGGTAACCACATGCACGGCAAAACCATTAAGAACGCCGAGAAGGGCGCGTTTAACGTTATGTCTCCCAACCAGGGCACGGTTTGCGAGACCAGCATCTCGGGCGTCGACCTCATCGTGAGTGGAGCGTAATAGTGTTTGACGTAGTAGATAGCTCAACCCGGCTTCCGAACCATCCCCCCCTGATTCTAACCCAGGTATCGCACGAGCACATGCCATTGTATTGAAGCTGGATTTCCACCTTGCCTGCCTCTTCCTTTCCTGGCTGCCGCTATGCTGCGGCATGTGGTCGAACAAATGTCCGAGTATTATGGCTCCTCTCGTCAACACGCACTCCACAATCGCAAACCTATTGCTGCTCAGCCCGTCAACCCTCCTCGCTCCTCATGTGCCACTTGTTTGCGTCGTTCGGTGCTGAGGACGATCAGGAGCAGTTCAGCGAGGCGGTGGCTACCGGGGAGTGCTCAAGGTCGGTGGTAGCGCCGGTTGTTCGGCCTTGTTTGTCCCCCACGGGCACGGATTTCGTTGTTTTGCCTTAGGTTGGTTGTGGTGTTGGTCGTCCGTGATGTTCTGCCCGCGTCCCATGCTGTTACGCACTTTTCGACTTGAGGATATGGCCCTGACACCGCAATTGCTTCACCCCGCTCTGCTTTGCATGTTCGCTCCCATTCCACCACTCAGCGACCCTGGAGACATTGGCACAGGAAGCTCGGCCCCGGCGCCCGCGCTGGAGGAGAGTGATGAAGTCGATACGCTCCTAGACGACAGTGGGCTCGAAGCTGGTATCAAATTCACCGACGATGCCAAAGACAGCGAGCCGGAGATCGACGTCATCGAGACCACCGAGTCTGCGGGCTTGACTGGGCTTGGATCCTGCAGCACCGTCGTCGAAGTCAAGCAGGCGTCCGTGCTACACGCCGAGTATGCAGACTCCACAACCGAGGTCGGCAACCTCTTCGATGGCACCACCGAGACGTACTTCTCGGTACACCCCGAGAGCACTAGAGTTCCAGGAGGAGACTGAGGTAAACGGTGTGGCCATCGGCTTCTTCATGAAGGCCGCAGAAGAGGAACGTATCCAGGTGTTCGACATCTCCATCATGGAGGAGGGCGGCGACGACTGGAAGACGGTCATCTCCCGCAAGGAGTCCAACGGAGCGATGGGCGGCGTGCAGACGTTCTCTTTCTCCTCCCTCACGACCCTGTACGTACGCCTCGAGACACACGGAAACAATTTCAACAACTGGTCGGCATTCACCGAGGTCGAAGTGTGCGCCAAGTCGGCAAAAAAAGAACGCCCTGTTCGGCGGCATCCAAGCCATCGGAGAAGAGCTGGGAACGCTCGCCGGGGAGGTATGCTCGGCACCGACGAAGCTGGTCCCCGCCGGCGCCAAGGCCAGCGGCACCGATGACGTCAGGGTTCTCTTCGACGGCAACTACGAGACGCGGTGGTCCACCATCAACACCCAGAGCGAGTCCGACCTCTCCAACGACATAGTGCAGCTCACCTTCACAGGCGACATGCGCGTCTCTTCTCTCAACATTGCCTTCTTCGACGGTCACCTCGCGCACCAGTACTTCTCCGTCTACATCCAGAGTGCCCACGCCTACACCTGGACGCCCGTGATGCTCAACGAGCAGGCCGCCACGCAGGTCAGCATGCAGACCTTCTCCATCGACCTGGACGGTGTGCACAAGATTTACATCGTCGGCAAGGGAAACGACGTTGGAGCATACTCCAAGTTTTCAGAGGTCGAGGTCTACGGATGCTAACTCAAGCGTTCGTTGCAGCGGGGAAATATTTTACAGCCATAGTCTTCGGAGCGAATCCGGGTTCGGTATCGCGGTGCGTCAGCACGCTCAGTAGAGTCATCGCCTAAGAGGCATACGGGTTCCGGGTCAGGTTTTTCTGAACTACTATTGAGAGAAGAAAAGCTGGTGTCGCCTCGCGAATCAAATTTCTTCAGGCCACAACCAACCCTGGTCTACGTTTCGGTTAATCACCATGCGTGGGGGGCAAGGTCAGCACAGATGAGGGATAATGATTCGATGGGCAGCCACCGCTTGCCGCGTGCCGGCGTGCTTCACTTCCTCCCAGTTTTGGATGCAACATCCACTTGATATTGCAAGGCAGTTGCCTCATGCTTGTTACAAATGTGTTCACATTCTGCAACTAGGTCATCGCTATTGCACGCTTGGTGGTCGTGTTGTTTGTTCGTTTTCTGACAACAGATTTTTAACTCTCTTTATTCTTCTTCCGAATCTTTGAAAGTGTCTCAACCCACCGAGTTTTTGTTGTCCACACACTACATATTTTTTTCGTGATGGTAAAGGTGTACATACACACTGCTTACGATATGTTTGTTGGTGGCTCGTCGTTAGGATAGTATTGATCGTTGTTTTTGTCTGTGCCGAAAATGGTTGGTTGTGGGGCTGGCATCCGAGACTTCTTGTTGCAGTTGTATGTCATGCTTGTTCTTGTGTAAATACCTTCACTTCGCTATCTCCCACTCATATATGCCAAAGCTTAACAGGCTGGGTTCAGTTCAGCTGTATCGGGGAATTTGTTAACGAGCCGTTTCATCTTCGATTTTAAATTGTGCCGACCACCACCCTCGACTCTGAGGGAAGGGGTGCCACCGCGTCTGTTGAAGCATTTCAGAAGATGATCATTGCGGGGTTTTCGTAGCACTTGTTGTATTCAAGGCATGGAAATCTGCGCTGCACAAGGTGATATATGGACCACATGTACAATTATGTTCGATACGTACATCATGGGCATTTTTGTACAATTAAACTTGCTTTCTTTCGTCGGATACACCCGCGGCGGCCACTCGGTCTGTATTTTTCTTGTTTGTTGGATCTGAACATAAGAAACGCGCGTGTGCTAGCACGAAAGGCACAGAAGGCTTTCTTTTTCTCGTGGAACGCTGATGCCCAAGAGCACAGGTGGGATGGTGGGGGCGTTCGTCTGCCGGTGGTCGTAACCACCATCAATCTTCATGCTAACCACCATCAAAAGACTAAACAAGAGAACAGTTTGGCTGACGTTTAGGTTTTCTTTCCCCCGTTTCAAGAAGACTCTCGGTGTATGAGGCGGCAATGTTGTTGTTGGTGTGGTTTCTCTTCAGGGACCCAGCCGACTTGCCCCCCCCGGAACCTGGGGTATTGTACATGGTTCTTGATTTCTTGTCTGCATGTTGTGCCAGATAAGAATGTATCTCCTCCGAAAGCATGTGAAATTATGTACCACTTTCTGGATGCAAAACCAACCGGGAGACATCTACCCGAGACGGGTAGCGTCGCAGGGTCGACAGCCACGACAAAATTCCTAAAGGCTACCGTCGTTCGCAGGCTTCTGTACCTTGCTTGGGATACAATTGGGTCTATCCAACACAATGTTTTGAAGGGGTCTTCTTCCTCGGAGATCATGTAACGTATGTCTTGGAAGTGGTGAGGCCTTCTGTGGCGACCGGTGGCCGCGCCCGAATTTCGTCATATTACACTTCGTTTTGTGACCATCGGCCCAGGTCCGGATTGAGTTGAGGCTCACCCAAACCTTACGCTATTTTTTCCTGGGGCATGCACGGTAACCACGTGACCTTAAAGTCCGGCCCCACAGTGGTGCCTCGCAAGCAACTGCATGCCTCGCATGTCGATAAATCGTACCTCCCACTTCGACCCTAATCCTGGCGCTAGCCCTGATGCAGCGCTTCGCTACGGTTCCCGTTCTCCTGCCTCCGATGCTCACGATCTCGTCCACTGTCGTTCCCGCGAGCCGCTGGTGCAGCAGCCAACCGCCGACTCGCAAAATACGTGCATTGTGAAAGTGTGAGGAAACTCCGCAGCATGCAAATTCGACGCGGTCATACTTGGCGCTGACAACTCGGCCTTCCCCCGTTCCCTGCTACGGGGAAAATATACCCCCTGGTGAGGTCCCAACCGACACGCTGGGCGCGGAGATGTGGTCGGTAGCTGCGTGGAACGCACAATGTGCGGGCATTCTGCATCGGCTGGAAAGATAACCGCCTCGCTCGAATGCCGCAAGGCCTCCCCAAAAGGGAAACAAAACAAATCCAATGCCTTGGACAAGCTACACCCGCGAACCCAACGTGAACAAAAGGTCAACTCCCTCGGCATAGAGTGAAAAGGCCGGAGAGAACGGAGCGACGTCACCAGTACACGAGAATACGCCCCACCTGTGTGGGAGCGAGTTGAGCCCGCGCCCAATAGTGTGCACAAAAAGGAGAACCAAGCTTACCTACATGAATTTGTTGTCAAGGAAAGGAGACGATATCCTTGTCATTCTGGGTAACGGCCCCGCCAATTCCGGCGCTCCCCTCCCTCCCTGCGCTCTAGCAGGTGCCCCGGCCGACGGCCCACCTGCAAGGTCCACAGCCACCGCACCCGATGCCGAAGATCCCGACACCGGCGCCGGCCCTGTACCCGTTCCCCCCTGAGCAGCTCCCCGCATCCAATCCCAACGGTCCATGTAGCGGAACGCAGTGCACGGATCTTGGGAGCCCGTCGTACGCCAACAGGAGAGACACCACATGCTCGACCAGCAGGACCGGGGCCAAGCCTTGAAGGCACTTAACCGACGGCCGATCCCCCGCGCGGAGAAGGCCAGCTTCTCCGCCTCTCGGCAGGCCCCAGGCCACGAAGTAGATCCGGACAGAGCAGGTTCCTTGTCCGCCAACGAAGGGCTGAAGCCGGGAAAAAAGCTCCACGCGCGACCCCTCGGCGCAGCGAAGGCCGTCCAAGGTAAAAACTCGGGGAAAGATCGGCGTAGGCCCCGCGCCGCGCCCAAAGCCCCCGCCACGTAGCACGCGAGGGTTTCGCGCGGGGAGGAGCTCGGCAAGAAAGCGGCTGGACCACCGGTCCGGCTGGTCCGAGGGGGGCGACACGGCTACAAGCGGCGCCAGACCAGCGGGCGGCGCGGACCGCAGCGGGCGGCGTGGGCGCAGCGGGCGCCGCCGCAGGCAATGGCCGCGTAGGCGACATGCTGTGGTGATTTCCATACCTTGCACAACAAAGGATATTTATTAGGGTAACTCATTACGCCGAGTTGTTGCCGTTTACCGTTTCTTGCGGATGAATTGTGCATTATTTTCGTCGTGTGTTTGTTTTTTCGAGATGCGCCGAGGACAAGCTATATCTTTATTCTCCACCTGTAGTGCGGACCCCTTCAAAGTGCACCAGACGATGCGTGTATTTGATAAAATCACAGGGACGTTAGAAGGGTGTGAGCACGACAAACACACTACGCAAGCAAAGTATTCTTGGAGCTCATGTCTTCTCTTTCGGGGTTTCGGGGACGGACCAAAAGAAAGAGAGCGACCACCAAAAAGCACCCCGACCATGAGCGTCGTAATGTTACTTCCAAGCACAACACAAGGGGGCTGTATCGGCAATGATGCGGCGGCAGTCGTTGCAGGAGTAAGAGAGCTTCAAACTGCACAAAAAACGGGTATACTTGTGTATGTGTTTTCGTGCCCACCGATTCTCGGCGCCAGTCTTAGGCTATTCCTTTTGGGTGTACGTTTGACGCACCACCAGTGCCCGGAGTCAGGCGTGAGGAGGAAGAAGGTTCTACAGTATTTGGAGAGATTTTCTCGCAGTATTCATAGGTTCGTGCTTGCGTTAGAGAAGAACGAAGTGCATTACAGGTTTTGGTGGAAACACGATGATGTATGGTTCTGGTGCTGGCGGCGTGAGAATCGTGTCGGCGCTTCCAACCTTCATGTTCATGCTGCGAACCGTGATAGCTCTGTTTTGCAGCATTGCGAGCATTTTACCGTATGCGTGCGCGACCTACGTCCACACGACAACTATGACAGACAGTAGATACTTTGAGCTATTTGCGATCGTGTTCTTTGTTAAATAGATGTTAGTTAGTATAGACTAGCCCATCGACTAGCAGAATATTCTAGCCCTGGCGCGGTCCACTCGCATGCCGTCGGGGGGCGCAGCCACGCAGCGGTCTATCTGGTTCGTTGTGCAAGTACGATCCATCGGGTGATATTGGGCTTCGTCAAGCACAGCTCAGGGGCGGCAAAGATCGGAAACCAAACCTAGATTTTGTGCACGGGATCTCTTGATATATGTTTTTCATGTGTGGGAAGGGCACCAAAGTGATTACCAAAACTCCGTTCATTGGTGTATCGATTTTTCGATGAAGTTTCATTATATCAGCCGGGATATTATACTCGACAGTCTACAGTTCGTGGTCAACAGCATTACATGGTTCCTAAACCACCCGGCGTGGCTAGGCGCAGGGCGAGGTCTCCACGACAGCACCTGATGAACTCTTTGCAGCAGATGAGGGTGCGCAGGAATTCTTCTCTTCGAACCTAGCAAGAGCTGACAACAACAGTTTGTACCGGAATATTTAGATAAGTTGCTACCGTACATGCTTGTGTTGGTGAAAAAATTGCACTAGTTCGAGTGACTGTATTATGTTGTCTACAGGCTCAATGGTCGCCTATTGTTTAGAGCAGCGGCTTCAGCTGTATTCAGGTTCCTTGAATTCTTGTTTATCAGGGCGTATGCGCGTACGATGAGACTTGAAGTGCCTCTCGTCAGAAACAATACAAATTTTTCCTCCGGGTCAATCTTGCCACCGAAAACAGCTCGCCAATAATTAATGAGCTCCTAGCAAGATGTCCGCGAGGGTCGAGTTGTCTGCTTTGCTTTGGTCAAAGTTTTCTTTGCAACATCTTTCCGTTGTTGGCCGGTGGTGACGTCAACCGGGTCAACGCGAACGAATCCTTGCTTTCCAAGAGGATTTGGTTGAACAAGTCGGGCCCTTGGGCGGGGTAAACGTATTTCTTAAGAAACAAGCTTTCAGATGGTTCTTAAGATGCAAAAACGGCCAAAACACAATAAACGACACTCTACACAAATATTGTAACCCACATCAGAATACATCAATGTGCCACAGTGTTTAGCTCACAGGCAGATACGTATATTAAACCGCGTCCCGATGAATAAATTGCCTTTCTGACCACGCGTAGGGGATAAAAACACTAAACAACCGGCAGGTCTACCGGCGAGCGGGCAACGCCACAAACAACAACCGACTGACCGGCTTGCACCACTTGTCACCCGACAGAACCAACCCCCTTTCCCAACGCGTGCGTGATCAAAACCCATTTAGTCTACATCACGAACAATCGGTGGATGTGTACATGCACACCAGGAATGCAAAAAAATAGGGGATTTCCGTACCAACCTCAATAGTTTGGCCATTGCCTTCCACGTGGATGTCAGTCACCTGGTCATGAAACGACTAGCAGAACGGTAATGTACAGTAGACGGACGGCGACGCCAACCTGGAGCTTTGCTCATATTCTTCTCGGGCAGAAAAAAGCAACAACAATATTATCTTAATATTTTTTCAGCACATAAACAACTAATTACACCTACATTGTGAATAGTATTTCCGCGTAAACGTCGGCGTGTACGAACGGCTGCTGCGCGACTTCGTTTACTTGATGAAAAGAAAACAGCTACCCTCACCAATACGATTATCCCACACGCCGCCCACCCTTCCGCCGACTAGCTCCGAGAAACCAACTACTGTGTTGCCGTGAGCGGTACTAGGCTCTGCCAAAACACCGCTTGCGACTCTCGATAATTCTAGTGCACCAGGCCCGGAGTCCATGTGTGGGATATCATTAGTATTGGTGGGGACCGAACCCCAAACGTGTCGCTACTGTTGTCGGTAGACGGTCATCTTCCAACTCTACCTACTACATGTATTCATGTAAAAAAATCGTGGATTACCCAGCATCCTCCGTCAGTGGTGCCCTTTCAATCACGAGTAGCGCAAGAAAGGTGGTGTCTTTGGCGGGACTGCAGCCATCAGACGTTCAACGAGACGATCGAGGACGAGCGAAAAAATAAATCACAGTTACCGGACACCGGCATGAAGAGTGCGCACACGGAAAATTGTATGTACCAACAACAGAGCCAGCTTCTCGAGGTAGTCTTTCCCGCAATGCAAACATGCAAACGCCCGCGCCACTGCTGCTGCCACCTCTGGGAATGTTGCTGTGACGAACGCATCAAACGTGGTCAAGGCCGCCAAGAACAAATGCAAGTGGAAACACAAGCGAGCGACAAACGGCAGGGCACCCACAGTCAAGGCCACTCGAAAGGCATCCAGGCAGCACAATCGACTACTGGTATGGCCAAGTGTTGCCGTAGTCCCATCCCTGTACATGTGTTGTCGCCGTCGCGAACACACAACCCTTCTATATTTCTTTGTGATAGCAAAAACGCCGGATTTCGTACCCGACGACCTCCCCCTCCCCTCTCAACACCGCTACGGGCAAGATTTTCTATTCAGATATTTTCTTTCCTCCTCCGATTGGTTCCTCCGCGTTTCTCGACAAAAACAATCGCGGCTGTTCTTTCCATTTCGCAACATGCTCTCGAGGGCTGTCCTGGTCTGTGAATAGGATCTCCTTAACTGAGGGGAACTGCAGCCACATGCGCGTCATCAGCAATCGTCGACGTCTTGGACACGTCGAGGGTGCTGGTCTTGTTAAGGGTGTAGCCGGGGTCCAGCCAGTGAGCAGGAAGGCAGGTCCACAGCGTGCGGTCCATTTTCCTGGCCGTGTGAGATCGTTCGACGGCGGCGTGCGATAGATGGATTCAGCACAAGAGCGAAGGAATTCACGAGAGATGTGGAATCTTTTGGCAACGTGAGTTCAAACAACACCCCACTCCAACGCCGAAAAAAAGCATCCCAAGGATGCACCGTCGATATGAGTTGTTGTTACTCCATACATAATGTGGCCCTCGCCGACAGACAGCATGCATCACGGGTGGAACTTTGGCAAGGGTGTCAAATTTCCCTCCTACCCTGTTGCTTTCGTCGGATCGTCCTGCACGATTACTCCAAAACAGAAGGGGCTTGCAGCTCATACTACGCTAGAGGAAACCTTCCGGTTGAACGGGCTATCGATCCAATGGTCGGCAATCCCATCCCTCCGTTCAAATAGAGGGCCCGAGTGTATGAATCATGTGTTGAATACGGGCAGGCGCCAAGCGCGACCCATCAACCGGCAAGCCGCGTTGTTCGGGATTCCGGGTGTTTTCACGAACACAGCGAGCAGCTTCGTTCGTGGCAAAGCATCAATTTTTCTCTTCCACAATGCGTACGCCACAACGAGCAACAAACATGGGTACGGCAAATGAGGACGGCCTTCTCGTACGCGTAAGTAACAGAGAATCCACAACCATCATCATTCCAAATATTTAAGGTTCACCCAATCGGCTTCCTCGATTGTTCCTTAGGGTTCTTGATGGAGAGAACGTGCACGGTGGCCGACCCAAATCACATATATAGCACGCACCTCTCGATGAAGGACCAAAGGAACATGACAACAACGCTGGTAACTGGAGATAGCAGCGAGTCGAGCCCGGTCCAGTCCTCCATGCGCGGCATGTCGCATGTATCGGGGTCCCAGTGGTCGGAAGCAGGGGCATCGATGAACGTAGGCAGAGGTCCGACCTGATCATATTGGAGTATTGGAGTACGAGCAAGGAGGGTAAGCGTTCGACGAAAGGAGCAGTTTTTTACGATGGTTTGAGCGGAGTGGCAGAGAGCGTTAACGCACGCGACGACTGTACCTTACGGAAATGTGCGTTGTCTCACAGGTATCGTGTTCTTGCCCAACTGGACTAAGGTGGAAAGCTTGGCATGGGTCGGGAAAACAACATCAGGAATATAGATCCCCCGATTGATCGAAATGCCCCCTTTCTCTCACAAACATGCACGTTGCTGACAGCTTGTTGGTTGCGTGTTTTGTCCTGTCGTCAAACAGACGTATTTTGTGATTTGTCAGTCGGCTAACGCGGTCAACCCATGTCAAAGTTTCAATAAAGTGCACGCACACCTTCAGGCCGTTCGATGAAGGCGGTCAAAGCAAGCAGACAACTTCACGGCCTCCGGGTGCCCCGACAGTAAAGCTGAAACCGAACAAACGTCCACACAGAGAGGAGAGATAGCATAGTGGCACATTGACGCCTGCAGCGTGTGCTTCGTGCTTACCTCGCCGGGGCCGTAGTCGAAGTTGAATTCACCGTGCGGGATGGCGAGGAGGCCGTCCTTGGGCAAGGCAAACTCCAGGATAGCGCGAAGGATGGAGCCGAACAGGACAGCCGCGAGAGCGCCTCCAGGGGTCACCTATTGGTTGACGGTGGCGTTGTCATTGGTGGTGTGTTACGTCCCACCCATGATAGCTCTCGTGTCTATTCTCCGCATTGCCACATCTGGGGAACTTCAACGGTCTTGGTGTGGTATGGTTCGGGCATGGTATGGAATGGTCACAAGCTGTAGCCAAAAATTGGGCCAAGTCGGCCAGTGTAGATATGTCTAGACGACGAGCAGGCGCACGAGTACACACGAATGCTTGAACTCATCCTCAATCGCAGTGTTGAGTCAACGACGACACCGGCATCCAAGGACGGTTATCCGATAGACCTGATGGTGGGATAGTGGGGTAGACACGCCCCAGCGGAGTGTATCGCACAAGGTGCACGCTCGGTGCAGTCACGGCAACTGCCCGTGACCACACATGCGATTGTGCGAAAAAAGATCTTTTTGTGCTGATGCTCGCTCGCTTACCGACTTCTTGAAGTAGATCGCGGCGAAGAGGGGGGCGATGCATCCAGCAAGCACGATGTCGAAGGCCACGATCAATAGGTCTGCGCACAAGAAGCGTCACGATCGTTGAGACAACGACCATCAGTTCTATCGAACGCCGCGCCAGCATCATCGTATCGATTTCATCGTCCGCTATCGTGACAGCATCCTATGTTCTCAACAACAGCACCAACATCCTGGCAGCGATTGTGAGTGTCGCTCTTGTTGGCATTCACTCGTTGACGAGCTCAAAACCAATGGGTATCATCATAGTTGACGTTTGGAGCCGTAGATTTGTGTACCATCATCAACGCGTGCCAGTGTTTCCATTCTTGCGTTCAAATCAATATCTCACGGGAGACGAAAGCCCGGCGTACCCCCTTACCCACCAGGCTTCAGTATCAATGGCTTTACCGCAAAACCAAGACCAAGAACAGAGACAGGGAGACAGAAGAACAGCCGAAGAACGTGATTGTTTGACTCACATCCAGTCTCATTGTATGTTGAAGCCACGATACAAGCAATCAAGGTTACGGGGATGATGCTGACGCGCACGATCGTGAGCAGCTTGACGTCACTGAACCGGTCACCTCCGGGAATGGCCTGGAGCATACAATGGGATACACAAGGGGATATGACGACGACCAAGTTGGTGCTGAGGGTACACAACAAAGAACACATAGAGTGGTGATATTGGTTAGCAACAGAGCAGGCCGGACACGACGCCGGGAGACAGAGAAGGTCCTTACCTGCAAACCGCGAGTTGACTTTCATGCTACACTCATGGTGCCTACCATTCGGCATCACTCATGGATAATGATACAACGACCTGTCCCACAACGACTTAAAGTAGTGCCTGTCAAGATCAGTTGTTGCCTTGAGGTCAAGGACGATACTCTTTGAACGAGGGTACCGTTGAAACCACTAGCCATCGTAACTCGATAGCCTGGGTGTGCTGCCCTTGATCTATACCTTACGCGCGATGTTGTGCGAGAGGACGGTGGAGATGGCGAGAATAGCACCGTCGGACGTCGACATCGAAGCCGCGCAGATACCGATCAGCACCCAGCATCCAAGGAAGGTCGGCAGCTGTTTCGTGTGTCGTGCAATCACGTACATGAGGGCGGGCGGGTGCCTGGCGTGTCAAGATTTCCTCAGGTGTTGAAGGTGAGGGTGGTCCTCAGCATCACGTTACAGTGTGCTTTGTAGGGGGGACGCGTGCGTGCAGTGTATGTGATCAGCGCATGGCTTTGGAAGTTCATCACTTCCCCTGCCGCGCACACACGCAACAAACAGACCACCCTCTACACAGCCTACACCACAAGCGAACCTGGTTCACTCCCCAACCATACCGACGCAGGAATAATCCTTTTCGAGCAAACAATCCACCAGACCTAGTCGCAACTGGTATCCCCACCCCCTGAATACCTGAACAAAACAAGACGAACATACAACAAGTATGAGATTTAGGTATATTCCATTTCATTCTAGTGTGGTGTTTTCGACACTCCAGCAACCACGCGCGCGCCTGACCTGTGTAGTGGTGAGCTTGAGGAAGGCGGTGGCGTCAGGTTCCCAGGCAGCGCAAGTGGGAAGGTCTAGGAACTTGGAGCACGTGTCGACCTGGCATGCAAGCATCGACACAAGGACGGCAACATCGATTCGAAGTGTGGTAGGCTACGATCAAAATCGCCTAGACATGGAATAGGATTTTCATGTGATTCGAAAATCGATTCCTTTCGGTTCATGGGACGGTCAATTTCGATGTATTGGCCATTTAAGTTCGATCAACCCTCTGGATTCATTCAGTGAGGAGATACAATTGGTTGGATTGGGGAATGGCGAAACAAGTACCAGTTCCAAGCCTTGAGTTAGGCGTTACGTGACTGGACCGGTTGGCTCACCGTAAAGGACGCGAACTGGCTGTCAGGGCCGTAGTTGAGACGGGTGTAGCCACCCATGAAAGAGAAGGTGATGCCCACGATGAACGTCAATCCAGCAGCGATGAAGTTGCCCATAGTGGCAATCTTGGGTGATTTGGCAGCCATGCAGCGAGCCTGCGCATAGACGTTAACAGGAACCAGAAAGAGATTCGTCGCCAACGAAGTACATCTTCAATAGGGGCCCGGTGGCGAACGACAGATGGGTCGGCGATGCGAAACTTTGACGTCACGTTGTGTCCCTCGAGCCATCAGATTTTAGAAAGGAAGCCATGCTACTGCGCCAATGTGCAGGACGTACAATATGGTAGTGTTCCATTCCACACACCCTACCGGACATCAACGATATCGGAAGGCGTAGTCGTCGGATCTGGCAAGTGTTTACGAAACACGCACGCCCAGTCTAAAAGAGGTGCTCTGCTGAGACGCGCGCATTCGTTTTGGCCGGCTCACAGCGCGGCCAACGGGCAATGATGATGAAACGCAACATCACACCTTCAGCGAGCGAGGTGACAGCGTTGGGGTAAAACGTTCAGCACTTCATCACCGCTTATCAAATCCACTCGTCATGCTTGCCATCGAACTGCAGAGCTCTAATCTAGAGTCACAACACAATCGTCCACAGGGCAACCGTTCACTCTTCACGACTTCAAGGCGGAGAACGTTGAGTAGTGCTGTGGCTCAGGTCCATACTCGCGACCAAACGCCACAGGTAGATAAGAACGGCGGCACACCATACTCCCGAGATTCGTATTCCCAATCTAGCTGCTATTTCGAAGGCTTGCGGGGCCACCCGCTAGACTACAACTTGAGGGCGCGAAGTGATACACCGACATAGACGATAGGAAGCGAAGCTGGACAACCTACGAGGGACGGGGAGGTGCCGCGCGGCAACTTCATGCCTCCATGGAAAGCCCGTGCGAAACACACATGTACCGAAGGAAAAGCGAGAAATATAGTACTGTAGGTTCCAAAGTGCTTCAAGCGCATGCGCGTGGGCGAAGACGGTCTGCAAGTTAGACCGCAGACATGAGGAAAGAAGAAGAGGGGCAGCAACAAAAAACAACAGGAATGTGGGCAAGCATACCGTGTGACGCAACGTACCTGGAAGTCAAGTGCAGCAAGGTTGCCGAACCCAAGCACGAAGATAGTGGCCCAGTTGAAGAGAATGGCGTTGGGGAACGGGTTGTAGGCATCGATGTCCATCATGCCGTCGTTGAACACCTGAGGCACGCAACGGGAAACAGCATTGGTACGCAGCGAACGAGGGCATGTCGGTACCTGGAACCTGAACCAGCACACACCTAACGAACAGCGGATTCCAATCCGCAATCTAGCCAGGGCACGGCAGGTAGTATGCCAGGTAGAAAACAGTGCGCTGATGAGGGTTTGGTGATCAAAAACGATCAAGCGCAAGGGGAAGTAGTCGTAGGCTGGTAGCGTCTCCAAACCGACAGCAATCACCCACCACCGGCTCTAACAACTTTCGTTAGCGGCGGCCAACAGAACGCAGACATATTAGACAAGTGACGTACGTCTTTGTCTCCGAAGGGGTAGGCGCCATTGTCCACGCCGCCGGCCCCCCAGACGTCCTCGTTGTACATGCATGCCCCTTCTGTGTACACGGCGGGCACCCCCTGTTGCGTGAGATGAGGCAAATCGAAAAACAAACGTGGAAAAAAGAGCGGACAAGAGCATCGACAAAATGCATTGGTACAAATCAAGGGCGGGACCCGCGCGGTGCTACTGCCACGCACCCCAGCCTTTCTCCCTTGTCATACCCCGAGTCCTCCCACTACACTGCACACCTCGTAGGCCTCGCACGTGGCGTCATCGGGGTAGAGATAGCCGGGGAAGCCGATGCTCGGGCTGGGGTGGTCGGGGCTCCTGTTGCTTAGCATCCAGGCGGAGGTTGTCAAGAGTCCGAGAAGGCCGAGAGAGGCCTGCGCAACATCTGATGTTTTCCCGTGATTATACATACAGAGTAGGGACACAGGCAGAGGCGAAGTTCGGGACACTTGACAACGGATGCGCAGTCAGGGGACGTTGGATGCATGCGATGCGGGTTTTGGGCAAGAGGTTGGGGCGTGAGGGGAAGCAAACATGTGGCTATGAGAAGGGTTCGGGGGCGGGTGGGGACGACAAGACTGTTATGTCAAGGTCAAGACAAACGGTCGGTGTGGCGTGGAGATCGGCGGGAGCGGGGGCATAAATTGTGGTGGAAGTTGCATACCCTTGAGAGAAAATGGAGCGTGCCTGCGGCCTGCTTCGTTGACAGCTACTATACCTTCTTCCCCTCGCTGCCTCGGCAAGGTTTTGCTTAGGCATGACCCAAAGCGAGGGGGGGGGTCTTTCTAGCGAGCAGGGCTAGACTCACCCTCAAGGGACCGATACCTTCTTGCTACAGCGCACCCGCCGCGAGGCGTGCGTAGTGGTGGAGTTGGGTCGGCACTGGTGCGTCAGGTACAAAGGTGCAGATGCGCGGGCCTCGAGGCCATCGGTGTAGGCAGCAATGCCCATCTCATCTTTGTGCGCGGAGGCAGACGCCATCAGAAAGGTGGACGGGCACTATGTACACGGCCCTAGGTTGGCTAGAGGGAGCTGTACTGTCTCAGTAACCAGGTTTTGCCATCAAATGAGGAGGGGACAGGCGGTGACGAGCTGACTGGGCTGGTTGACCCTTCGGCGCGAGCATTTTCAGACCAAGAACCCTAAGTGCAACGAGGGAGAAAGCGAGGAACCGACTGGGAAGGACAGCAACGAGAGCGTGTACGAAGCGGAGCGGGTCGAGTTTGGTCGTGCTAGGACTGGCCACAGCGATACCGGAGAAGCGGCACCGGAGCAGCGGCACCGGAGCAGCAGCGGAACCGGACGGAGCATCCGGACGGCATCGAACCGTGTCTCACGGACAAACATCTCTTGTGTTGTCAATTATTTTCCGTTTTTTTCCTGAATATCGGTGTTAGGTATGTGTGATGACGTCACTGGTTTTGTAGAGAGACGCGGCAGAGATGGCGCGGATAACCCGGGTGCCTTAATTGTGTACCTGCATCGTGAAAGACCCCTTCAATGTGGAACGATTCCTAGTCAGTGTCGATGTTTACACTGCTGTGTCTAACACAGATTATCTGGATAGATAGATTCGGGCGATTGTCAATTGCAATGATGGCTTTGGTTAGTTGTTCTTCTTCATCGTATGTCCACGGACCCATTCTGACAGCACTTCAGACAGCAGCTGCATGCCCCGAGCTTGTTGTGTACCATACACCATGGTGTTATTTTTGTACAGACAGCACTTCAGACAGCAGTACGCTGTAGTCGACAAACATTCATTTTGGTGAAGTGCGGGACAAGGGGGGTGATGCCGCTGCTGTAGTCGAATTGTAGTGTGTGGGCGTGTAGTTCAGTTGTGAGCACGCAAACGTGCTGCAGGGATTGTAGGTGTACCTCTTCGGGCTTGTGTACCCTTTTCTTGCTAATAGTGTGCGTGTTCTTTAGATCTTCTGATGGCTTTAGCATTTTTGTGACCACGGGCCGAGTCTTTGCTAGATTTTGGGATTAGCAACTGACACGAGTTTAATGTGAAGAAAAACAACAACAACAACAACAACAACAACAGCAAACAACTATGGAGAGTCAACAGGCCTGCAGTCTATTTATTTTTTGCTTCGACTGGCTCAATATTTTGGCGAGTTTGTTATGAGGAAATAGAGCAGGGAGGGGGTACGCAGACCCTATCTCTTTCCCTATCCCTAACCCAACTTCCCCCGATTTCATGCATTATCCAGCATGGTTACTTCACACAATCGGGCTAACCCTGAGAAGGGTGGCGGGAAAAAACGCACCCGTGTAGGCGACGGAAAGGAGGCCGCCGGCGCCCGTGTAGATCATGGTGACGATGCCAGCGATGAACACGCTCGTTGCAAGCTCTCCGCCGAACAGGAAGCGGATGATGATCGACAGGCCTACCTGATTGGTCGACAAGTACATAATCGGTGGCGAGCTTGATTGAGATGGACAGCAACAAGAGCAAGAACTCAACCGTACGAGGTGGGAGCACTCGCGGGGTTGAAGAACCTCACACGACGCAGTTAGAGCACTCACCAGGTTTCCCGCGAGGAGGCAGATGAAAGAGATACACGTCAAAAGGGATACCAGCACTTCCACGGCGGGACCCCAGGCCTTCCCGTAAAAGTCAGGCAGAGTGAGGCATTGGGCCTGTTCGAGAGGAAAACAAACGGCGTTGAGGCTGGGGGTTAGGAATATCAGAGGATACTGTCGCACGGTCAGCCAGGCGTGATTGGTTCAACTTCTCGCTCGCGCCACCTACATTGCGAGGGGCATACGTGGAAACCAAGTTCTTTTGGTAAGAGACTCCCTCGGGTAACTCCCAATGGCATCAGCTTGCACCCAGGCGACACCACCACACTACTTCGCACAGCCGACTCCCCACGACGCCGATGATGTCCAAAAATATCCAATCGCGCCGCTTCACAGCAGTGGCGCAACCCGAAAAAAAGTGAAAGCAGGCGTTAAGCCCCTATTTCTGTACGTTGCACCTCGTTGATGTGGCGTGCAATGAACAGGCCGTTGATGACCAGGCTGAGACCAAGTCCCATAGGAAGGACAGCCCCATCCCAGTAGCTGGAAAGAGTTGGGGTTGCACACGGCAGCAGGGTTGAGAGAAGGGCGTCGACGTCACTCGCTGTATCAGCGGAACAACCTTGACCACTACGGGCGGTAGAGAATACGGCAGTTGCAGTGCATTTACGGCAAATGAGGAAAAGCTCGAAATACTTAATGTCAGGTGTGGTGCCTGCGAACGTGACACCGTAAAACACCAAACCAAGATCACCCTCCGCTTTTGTCACGAAACCACATGCGCTAACATGCAATACAGCAACGATGGATGCTGTCGGATGGAAGCGCAAGACGCTTCTGGTGCTCTGCCCTCGTTACGACGTTTCACGGCATTTACAAACGCCGACGAAACGCTGACAGACAGTGGTACTCGGGGCACCTACAGCAAGGAATACCGTGGTGGAATTTCCGCCGATCTAACGTTTGTGGCGCAATCACCTGAACGTGACACACAAGAGGTGCGAATGCATGCTATTATACATGTTTCTGTCCGCGCGGACAAGGCAAGGAAATTATTCGGTAGCCCACCTGTTGTGGTCGAAAACATTACAAAGAGCGGCTCTCACGAAAACCAGGTGTCACGACCACCGCGACAACACCTCCCGCCATGACCAACCGGAAAAGCGATGTAGCATACACCGCGGAGACCTGCTACGCTGGCAACGAGGTTGCATGCCATACTGGCACTTGTGGACAGCCAGCATTGTACTGTTTGCATCAACCGGCATCGTGTACTCGCAAACACCATGGTGAAGAACCACGTGCGAGCTGGAAAGAAGATGCGCAAAGGGCCCTGACTGGAAAACGATTGAGATTCGGTCGTGGGTCTCACTGGAATTTGTAGGCGAGGTCGGCGTTGCCGAGGGTGGCGTTGGAGTCGATACTCTGGGAGGCGAGAGTAAGCGCAATGACGAAGAGGGGCAAGCTCCGACCTCCCACGAAGAAGTTCTCCACCTGAAATTATGATCGCAGGATCAGGGAACCAATCACATCGACGCCGGCGGAGCAGTAGAACGCAAACGTTATGCCGCACGGAGGGGATCTCCAGCAAGTAAGACCGTTGCCGAGTCGACTATGTACTACCGTTGGATTTTCAGCTAACGACCAAGTAAGAGTCGAAATCAAGGGGCAGATAGATATCACCTCCAGCTTCCCGCACCGTTTCACGCCTGAGAGGATAGCTGTTGTGTTGTTTGGACTACACCGTTCGGTACAATTTTGGACGCACCAACCTGGGTCACATAGGAGCAACGCCATTTTTTTCCCCCTTCCCTCGGCGGTGCTTGCCTATGTCGTGTACACGCGCTTGGGTACTTCCTGTGCCGTCCGTGATGTCGTTTGCGTTGTAAGCGAGCACATATGCAGAGAGCGCTACTCCTCTCGATGAATGATTGTGTGTAATATCGATCGTTTGGCCCCAAGTAATAGTATCGTTATCGAGTCACTCTCTTTACAATAGACACCGCCAACGACGCTTGGTCAGGCACAAAGTTTCGACAACGATTGGAGTAGTCGGCCCGGGCTCGAGTTCTAGCCGCACCCCATACGCTGACGCGTGGGGTGGCGGAAGAGGAACCAAAACTCCTTCGAAAATCGGAAACTTGAAAAACAACGAAAAGCGAAGCAACCGCGAGAAGGACCACTGCTGTCTAGGCGTTCCTCCCCCGGAATGGCCTTCGAGTGCTGAACTTGAGGGCTATTTCCTCAAGGAGGCAACAAACTGTAATGCTTGAGTTGATTTCTACTTTTTCTTTTTCATCACTATAAACCAGCCCTCCCACACACACATGCCCTCTAGAATGCCTTTTATGTTTTCAACCGCACTGATACTGACGTCTTCTAATTGTTAGCCGGTTACCGCGGTCGATGCTAAAAATAACACACACATGATATTTCCATTGGTCAGCCGGTTTGGGCGTTCGATGCCTTCAGGCCTTATAGCGCCATCGACTTTTGGGGCCACCTCCTCTGACCCCATCTTCTTCGCCTGTGTTGCTTCGCGAAGAATGGCATGCCTGTCTCCTCCTTTGAGATCTCTCGACAACGGGGGGTGCCGGGGTAAACGGGGAGAACCACATTACAGTCTACAACTGTAGTGTGTATGCGATGGAGAATGGTATCAGTTCGAGGGTACTGTAGGTCGAATCGCGGGGCGATACGGGGGGTTCAACAGTGAAGTTGCGCTGCGTCTATCTGTCTGTGCTCGGGTGGACAGCGCGAATAGGGGCAAGCGCGGAAGAAACACGGACCTCGCCCACCGATAACAGGAGGAGCCGAGCAAGCTATAGCTCGGTCCCGTTTCCTTTGTACAGGAATGTCTTGAAAACCTCCTTCTCGTGCCCCGTTTACCATGCCCCCCCCCGCCTGTTGGTGTTTATAACCCCCCTCTCTTGATCGGACTTGTTGTTGTTGTTGTTGTTGTTGTTGTTGTTGTTGTTGTTGTTGTCTTCACATTAAACATCGTTCCGGTCTCCACTCAGTACCTTCTAATGTCCGTATACTACTGGTCCAACTGACGCGGACGCCTTCCGTGGCCACAAGCCAACTGCCCCCCATAGGGAGGGGTACACCTTTCTAACAATAAAGAAAGGAAAATGGACACCAGAAAATTCCTCCAAGGCGCGATTTGTTATCCAACCGAAAAAAGATCAACAGTACGGAAAACTATAATCGGGATAAAGACTGGTAGAGAAGAGAAAGCTCAGGTGGGGAGGCGGCTTTGAACCTGCACCCAGGACTGGAACTGCTATCCACATCATCATTCAATCAGCAGGCTTCTTCTCTCGTTCTTATGGTCGACTGGGTTCGATCTACACCCCCCCAAAGAGAATCCGCCTGACAAATCCGGTTCACTACGAGATAGGCCGAACATTTTTCCAGCCGGAATGTTGTCGATACTGGATCTTGATAGTTTTGGGGTTAAGAATCCGGCTCTACAAGGAACAGCCAAATAAGCGAGCTTCCTTGTAAAGTGAGATTTTCTCTCTCGCTTCCGTTTCTGGGTAGGTGGAAAGTCCTGGGGTTCGTGTGTACTCAGAGGGAAGAGAGTGCTGCACTCTTCTTGCAATAAGAATCGAAGGCGAAGTACCGCATGATGATGAGGGGTGAGTAGGGGGGCTCAGGGAGAGGACCCCTTCCGTATGACCACGGGTTGGAGCAAACGGCACAAGCGCTGTGAGCGCTGATTAAAAGTGAAGACAACAATAAAAAAAAATTGTACTGTAGTATACTCTACGAGCTTGGGAAACACCCACATCGTCACTGGCAGTTGCATTAGCCAGTTGTCAACTGGTCCTGCTGCCTGTTTTAGGTTGTGCTTACGTTTATTTTCATCTTTCACCTCATCACCTCCTGATAACAATCAATGATGTTGTTCTCTCAAAAGTTCACACTCCGGAGTACTTTATCATGTATTGTAGCTTTGTATCATGGCGATAGAACGGGGCAACAGACTATGGTACATAGGGGGAACGATTGGCCCCCCGCCCCCCAATAGGGCGGGCGGCCACCATGCGTGGTAAGGCTGCCGGGCTTCGCTGGTAGATGTAATGGATGAAAGCCGGAAATAATCGTGTTGTGGGAGAGGCAAGAGTTATCGATCAAAAGAGAGGCGAATCCCGCATGGTCTTTAGGCTCGGCGCTCGCTATAAATACTGATGACGAGGGTTGTACAGAATCGCCCAGTTTTCGTTGATTGATTTCTGCAGGAAGGAGATGAAAATACACAGCGTTGAGGGATCATACGACAATGTTGTCAAGGCGTTTACGACAACTATATGCAAACAACAGGTAGAGTTTTCATCGGATTAATTCGGTGTAGGTGGGACATCTGTTCGCATGTCTATGTTTATTTAGGCCATAGTCGTCTGGTGGACGCGTCGCCATCCGAACATGTTATTAATAGCGTACTGTAGAGTCCAACGTATGGTGTTGATCAATGGCTGCGAACGCGTACTATGCTTCAGGTGTCATACCTCAGCGTTCGCAAGAAGATGGGTTCCACCAGAGTATGCAGTAGTAGTCCGTAGGGCGCCGCGTGGTGGTGGCGACTGCAGCGTCCCGGCTATGGACGACACGCGTATCGTCGCAGGTAGATGACGAGTTGATTGTTGTTGTGAACCATTCCGTGTTTCTATTGGAAATGATATTTGAATTCGATTGAATCGGAAGATCATGATGATGTTTGATTGTTATGATTCTTGTTCGAGCATGCTTGCCATATCCGCCGTTGCTGTGGATCACAAGACACACGTGTGGTAACACAGCTTGACAGGGTGCTCATGTGATGTGTGGACAAAAGGAGTCGCGTTTTTGTAGTGTACAGCAGTGCTACATCTGTGGAATGCTATTGATGTTGCAGTGCATGTTGCTTGCAGCATATATGTCGGCAGAAGCACATACATGTGGTACGTGGAACGTTCGAAGGAAGCCGGATGCAATGTTTCCAACACCGGACCGAAGCCGGGAAGTTGGTGGGAACAGACATCCACATGCGCTCTTTGTTGTCTACAGCAAGCCGCAGTGGTCCGCTCTCTGCATAGGATTTTGGTGTTGTAGACGACACATGTGCGTCGGATAAATGAAGAGAAACAGACAGGTGGAACGCCGAAGCATTGGATGTGGTTGCAGTTTGAAACAGGACCATGACCATTGGTGAAGTCACCAGCAAGGTCTTGCCGTGATCGCAATCCGACAATTTGCTGTTAACGTTCGCACTGCTGCCTGGAACATCTGAGTTCCTCCACGGGTACCACCTCACTTATAACACGGAAGAGCAATTTCTTCGCAGATTCGCACATTCACGTGTGGCATGTCGCGTGGGATCGCGTGGCGAAAAAAAATCGCGTCCACGTGGTGGGTGCAGTCTAACATCAAGTCTAATGTAGTGCAACATCCTGTGAGTAGTATATATTTAGCATGATGTCGAAACAGCTACACCAGTCTGCCCGGCAGTTGCACCCCCGAAGAATATCATTCTACTTCATAAGTATAAACATTTCCAGTGGTAACCCCGGAGACTCTCGGTTTCGCGTCTTCAGTGTGGTAACCCCGGAGACTCGGTTTCGCGTCCTCAGTGGTAACATGGAGGCTGTAACACTGGCGGCGTTTTCGCGCCCAGTGTTTGTGCCTCCGGCCGCGTGGGCAGACCACTGGCGCCATGCGCAGGCGTCACTTGCATACCTTAGCCGACGTCTTACGGGCTCACGAACGAAGCTTATTGCCATGGGTGGGTCCTGGCTCGAAGGTCTTCTGTGTAGGCAAGCCCATCGCCTTGACTCCAACCTCATCAATAATGCACCGACGTCCTTCTACGAAGTGCTTGGAGGAGGGGCCTTTAACTACTGGCGGCATGCGCAGGCGTCGCTTGCATAGCTTAGCTTGCGTAGCATACGTAGCTGATAAATGTGTGCTACTGCGCTAGAGTATGTAATTCAAGTTGTGAAACGGCTTGTATTAGGAAA